ACCAGCCAAAAACGAATAAAACACATTTGCCAAGGACGTTAATTGTTTTGCTTCTATTTTCTTTTTGTACATGCGAGACTCACTGCATGTGAGTGCCACTGCAAGTGCGAGTGAGAGCGGGTGTGCGTGTGTCTTTTGACTTTTATTTTTGGCATGTTTATGTTTGTCTTTTTTGTTTGTTATTTTTTTTTTGGTTATTGCCGCTTCAATTTGCGTGCATTTTGTGGTCGTTTTTTTTTCTCATGTTGTTGTTGTTGTTGTGCTGTGCGTGGCCTTGCCGTTATTTTCATTTCTTTATTTCCTGTATACGCCGGCAGCACGTCTCGGTGCCCCCTCTCTCTATCTCTGTCTTTCCCGTTCGCATTGTTTACTTGTCCGGCTCTTCACTTTGCGGCATAAGTGGCGCTTAATTTATCAATTTGCGTTTCGCCAAAGGAATTCATTATTTGCCAGCTCGCTTTGTTTTTCTGTCTCTCTCTCCCACACACTCTCGCTTTGCTTCATCTCCTACTATGCTTAGCTGGTTTTCGTGCTGTGTTTAGCATTGTCTGGCTTAAGTCCGTTGTTTATTTGTCATCATCATCATCATCATCATTGACATTGTTATTTTTATGGTTTTGCTTTTGTTGTTGTCGCATTTAACGGAAGCTCAATCGTTTGCAATGCAATTTTTGCTTTCTTTTCTTGCCGTTCATTCTAATCGTAGTCAAATTGCTTGTTATGAGTGATTTCTTTGAGTGTGTGTGCGTGTACCCCAATCAGAAATCACTAGATATTCTCATAGAGCGAGTGTGAGAGAGTGTGTACTGTAAATGCTCTAGCTCTAGTTTTTGCTCTATCTCTTTCTATCACACATCTTTGAGAGCTTAGCTTGGGCCCAGTTTTAGTGTTTCTTTAAATATTTGTATAAAAAAGAAAAAGTCACTAAAAGAGTTAAACAAATTTAAATAACTCAAAGAGCATATTATTCTCAGTTACGGTAAAATGCTAAAAATCTAACCTCAACCAAATGTGTTAAGTTGCATGTAAATCCCCGGTTATCTCTAGCCATTCCAAGTAATTAAAACGCGACTCACTGAAAAGCCAAAATAAGTAATTGCCACCTTGTTTGGCAACTTTCAGAGCTCATCAGCAAACAGAGGCAACAAAAAGAAAGCAGTAGAAACAACGCACAAAATTGACAAATTAAAAGCAAGTGAAAATTCCGCTCTAACCAGCAAAATTACAAAAATAAAAAATAAAGAAGAAAACATAGCTGAAGGACAGGCTATCCAAAAGGAAAACAAGCCGGGCACACAATTAAGCAGAGGAAAGGCAAAGCAAAAAGAGAAATTAACGGGAATACCGGCTCAACAATTAGAAAGAAAAAACGGGTTCAAGAAACAATCGACAAGTCGGGCGGGGGTGTAGGGCGAGGGCGCTTAGAGCTTGTTTCGTCCGCACTTTCGGGCTGCGCAATTATGATTATGGGTGCGTCTGCCTTCACCTCATTTCCTCAGCCAGCCCCCGCCCCTGTATATCTGACCAAAGCACCCCTCGTAAGCACACTTTAATTGTTTTTTATTTCCACTGCTTTTTTTTCTCCTTGTGCTTTCTTTTGAGGGTTGTTGCCCAGTTGCCTGGACGGAAATTCATTAGAGCATTTCGCTAAAGATGCCGAGATGGAGATGGAGACGGAGACGGAGCAGGAGGCTGAGGAGCATGTCAAAGCAGTTGCCAAGACGTTTTCTCTTGGCTTTTTCTTCTGCGCAAAAATTGCAATTCTAACAAAAACCGTCCACCCCATCTACATCACCCTCTCCATCACCATCGCCATCGCCATCGCCATCGCTACATCTCCAGCTGCCCTTAGCTCAGTGGACAATTGTCTCTGCCAGTCGTCCATTTGGTCGTATCGTGGCTCTGGGTGCGAGCGGGGCTCAGCAAAAAAGGGCTTCGCATCCTGTGCTGGCGATAAAAAATAAGGACCGCTAGCCAGGCGAGCAAACATAAAAATGCGTTCGCCCTGAAACGGCTTGGGCGGGGGCGCCTGCTGGACTAGTGGACTGCCAGACGGGAGGACGGGAGGACTGGTGGACTGGTGGGCGTGGACGGACAGGCACCTAAAACAGAAAGTAATCAACCCACACAGACGCACTCTCAAACACACACCCACCCACCCATACACACACACACACACATACACATAGAGACAGACAGCGAAGGAAGGACAGCGCATAGCTCGCTCTAACCAGACCCCAATCTCCCCACCCCAGAAGCCACCCCCTTCGCTTGACTCTCCACCCCCAGCCCCACCTCCACCTCCACTCATTTGCACAAAACACACCCACAACTTGGCAGCAGGAGTAACTTTTCCATACACTTGGCGAAAAAGCCCAAGTACTTCAGTTGAGTGGATAGACAGCAATTGAGGAATCCTTCTTAAGGAAGAACTCGGGAAATTCTCAGGAAATTTCATATATCGGTAAAAAGAAATAGAATATAGAAAAAAAAACAATTTTTTAAAAATATTTTTGATGACTCAAATTCTATCCACTTTTAATTATTATATAATCTACCTATTCATATATTGATTTATCTATTCCTTGCCTTAGACAAGTGTATTTCATATTGAATGCAACTAGCAACAACTTCCCTTTCGTCAAGTGTTTTCCTTCTTCCTTTTTTCCATCATTTCTGCTTTCTACGTTTTCATATTGGAGCTTTGTGGAGCGTAGGGGGAGCGGTAGCCAGTTGGGCGCGAAGAGAACGAGCCCAGCCCTGGGTCTAGGGGTTTCGTTGCGAGTATTGTTCTTGTGCCGCCATGAAAATTAATGAAGAAGTGCCCGACCCATGTTCCAAACGGTCCTAAAACTCCGCTCGGTCCGCACACAGTCTGACTGACATGCCCGAATCCCTCGACGCGGTCAAGGGTGGGGTGAGCAGAGTGAAAAAGCAAAGTAGGGGCGGGCGAGGGTGTTGGTGGGGCAGGGCACCCTAAGCTCCATTTGTCGTTTTATTTTTCTGCCTTCAACTTCTAAGGGTGCGTGCCGTATTCTTGGCCAACTCCTGTGCACTCCTCTAA